GAATGGATACAGAAGTCAGGGTCCCAGGGACGCCAATATTAGGTCGAGTAAGGCGGCGTAACAATATTAAGTTGCATGCGGACGCCAATTTTAGGTCGAGGTGGCAAATAAAAGTCCTTCAAAAGACGCCAATATCTCGAGCTAAAAGGCCATACTCTACAGACTGGATTTCAACCACCAACAAATGCAAGGAACTAAGACAAAGCTTAATATAAAGGAAAAAGTTGAGAATTGTTGGAATTACCCACGATGTTGGAATATGTTTACCCTATACCTATTTGAAATATCTTGGTATAATGGTATAATTTGATAAAATCCAGTGCAATTGTCAACTAAATTTAATATTGTTTATTAAATTTTTGAAAGAATTTAATATTGAAGGCTGATTTTGTATAGACATATTTGTCCCTGGTACATTTTGATTCAACTTAATCTTATCAAGATGTGAATAAAATGTCAAGTCATAAATTGTAGACATTAAACAGTATGTATAATGGCTAAGTTGCCAGTGTTTTATGACTACAGTAAATTTGTTAAGGGCCAACTATTAATTGCTGTTTAAAATATTAAAAGTGCTGATTAAAATTAACTATTGCTGTTGATGAATGCTGATCAAACAGAGTAGAAAATATATGCTTTAAAAGCTGCAATTACAGCATATCTGCCATTTTAAAAGCTAAATGTGATGATGAATTAAACTGCAAGATAGCAAACTTATCCAAAATGTAAGACTTTGTAGCTTTGCTATTTTAGTAATATGTTGTGTCTGTGATTAGGATTTGTTCTTAATTTGAGTAGCATAAAAACTTGACAGTTGACACCATACCTGATGCTACTGAAAAATTCTATTATAATACTATTAGTAAAGAGTGACAAGACTCCTATTTATTTCATAAGAATTTTGTCAAGAATAGTGACAAAATTCCTATTTATTAATAAAATCTTGCAGCTTCAAGGTGATGAATTGTTGCTCGATTATACATCTATGTTAGGAACTTGGTTGAAGAAAGTTCATTTAGTGGGAATCTCATGGCTCCAAAAATGGCAGGAAAGCACTCATAAAGTAGATGTATTCCATGCCTGATAAGTAATATTGGCCAAAGAGCATTAATTTTTGTGAATCTATCTAAATGATGTGATTTCAAATTTTTGCTTTATTTAACAAGGTTCACTTAAATATAGTTTGCTGCATTTAAATAATACTATACATATAATGGTTTTGACACATTTTTTTCTTTGCAGAGCAAAACTATGATAAAGCTATTGAGTTTTACTCAAAGGCTATTGAGTGCAATTCTGAAGAACCAATTTACTATGGAAACCGCAGTTTTGCCTACCTGCGCATGGAGTGTTTTGGATATGCACTGGAGGATGCCACCAAGGCTATTGAGATGGACAAAAGCTATGTGAAAGGCTATTACAGAAGAGCATCTGCCTACATGTCCCTTGGCAAATACAAAATGGCACTCAAGGACTATGAAACGGTAAAAGAATCCCATGCTATGAGGAAACTCATGTTATATAACTTTGTTGTTACTCAACAATTTATATAAGCAGGAAAAAATACCAAGTAAACTCATATCTCTGTAGAAAATAAATTTTATAATGTTAGGGTGAACTTGCTCTGTTTTGAAATTCTTGGTTAGCTTGTAGTGATAGCAACAAATGATATATGTAAATGTTATTGCTAATAAGTGACATAATTTCAATTTTTGATAAGGATTCAAGGGATGTGAATTTATTGAATAGAGATCCTATTGGTTAAGGTGTCTTGCAGAATATATTTTAAGTGGAATGTATATCCATAATTCATTCATAATCCCATGAAGTTTAACTTAACTAAATGTTCATTTTTGTTCAGGTGGTCAAAGTGCGTCCAAGTGATAAGGATGCAAAGCTGAAGTTTACCGAGTGTCAGAAGATAGTGCAACAAATGTTGTTCCAGAAAGCTATTGCTGTGGATGATGACAAGAAGAGTGTTGCTGACTCCATCAATCTTGATGCCATGAGTGAGATTTTCCACTTCAAGCCTTTCTAATTTTTTTCTGTAAAAAATTAAGAGAACAATGGTATTGAAAAGTAGCTTGAGATATTTTAAATTCCAAAGACTTTTCCTTTTTGAAAGCACTGAATGTATTTAGAGGTGAATTGTAATAAGTCACATCTCAATTCAGGAAAAAATCATAATGTGCTGTTTAAGGGAGGGTATTTTTAAGTCTAGGTATTATTTTAGATGCATTTATTTATTAGGAAATATTATTTTCTTTTTGATGCACCCATTTTCTCTCAATTGAATTGAAATTCTTAAATGCCTACTTGACATTATTTTATTTTTTTCTGTTCTTAAAACTAGCATAAGTTTTTATCTCATCTTTCAACAGCCATTGAAGATAATTATGATGGTCCTGCCCTGGAAGATGGAAAGGTCACCGAGAAATTCATGTTAGACCTAATGGAGTATTACAAAGCACAGAAGAAACTTCACAAAAAATATGCTTATAAGGTACAACTAATGTGCTAAATTGGCTTTTAAGAGTCTTCCTGGCGTATTTTGCTTAAACAGGTGTAGTTTTTATGGCTAGTTTAAGGGAAAGCAATAATTTTTATTTAAAATATATGACTTGCAGTGACCTTGTTAGACGGATTAGATTTGTTTGCAGCAAAGCTGTCAACTACCAGCTGATGCATAACTTCAAAACTAACTTAAAAATTTAGTACTATAAAATATTAATGCATGAAATTACTTTTCTATGAATTTTTAGCATTTTTCAATCAAGTTTGATTATTATAAGACATTAATATTCTTTTAAATTTGCAGATCCTGTTAGACATCAAAGCATATTTCACAAAGCAGCCAACTCTGGTTGATGTGCACATACCTGATGACAGCAAGTTCACCGTGTGTGGAGATATACATGGCCAGTTTTATGACCTAATGAATATTTTCAAATTAAATGGGCTGCCATCTCCTTCCAACCCTTATCTTTTCAATGGAGACTTTGTTGATAGAGGATCTTTCTCCATAGAATGCATTTTCACTCTTTTTGGTTACAAACTCCTTTACCCCAACCATTTTTGGATGTCCAGAGGTGAGAAAAATGTGTTAATTACATTATTCTAGGCTTGCTCAAACATGTAAATCAATTAAAATTGTAATTCCTTTTATATATAGTTTGAAAATCGTTTTTAATCAATTTTACTGTTTGATTACATACTCTAAAATTCTTATATTTTGAATATTATCAATGATGCTAAATTGTGCATTTTTTTGGTTTTGTGCAAATTTTTTGTACAAAGTTTCACATTACGTGTATTTGCAGTTCTTAATATAAAACTGTTCATAGGAACATGAGCAGAAGTAAGAGAGGTATCATTTAACATGCTTGTCTACTGGAAGTTAGGTCTGCATGTAATGCTTTACCTTTTTTGCAATGGTTTTATTATGGTTACCTTTTTTGCAGGTAACCACGAGAGTGTAACAATGAATCAAATGTATGGATTTGAAGGGGAAGTCAAAAGTAAATACTCGAGTCAAATGGGCGATCTCTTCACTGAAGTGTACAACTGGCTACCTCTCTGTCACTGCCTCAATAAAAGAGTCTTGGTGAGTCAATTGTGCGTGTAAATCTGAATACAATGTTGTTTCTAAATTAAATGTGAGGCGCAATTCTACTGTTTTTAACTTGATTATAATGAAGTCACCACTGATGGGCTAAATAAGAACTGTTAAATTGTACATGACGGTGATAGTTACCCAAATTCTTTTTTGATTATTTATTATAATTTCTATATTATCATTTTTTAATAATTTTTTATTTATGTGTTCCAATTTTATCCGGTTTGGACTAAATAAGTGCAATGATTGTATTCATAACTACAAGGTTAGCCTGGTGTTACTGAGGCTTGATTATTCCGGAAATTTTGAATCCCATTCTCATAATCCCTGGTTAAATAAATATAGTTATTTATTGACCCCACAAATATCGTTGTGATTTTATCACAGAAAAATGCTTTAAAATCTAGTTTTGAATTAATTGGGAATGGAATGGCTTCAATTAATTGGGTTAGGAAGGGCTAGGAGATCACAAAATTGACTATGATCATATAAAATGAGAAGTTGCATGATGACTTGAATTATGGTGATAAACTAAAACGAGAGAAATTTATGTTGACCTTAACTTTGGCCTATTGGCCGTTGGGAATTACTTTCATAGAATTTTGTACTAGGTCAGGCTATCAGAAATAAAACGAGTAAAAAAATCCCTTGTTTAACACAACTTCAATACCTCAGGTGATGCACGGAGGTCTGTTCTCAAGTGACACGGTCACCCTGGATGACATCAGAAAAACCGAGCGCAACAGGCAGCCTCCTGAAGAAGGTAATCAATTAGTTGTATTGCTGCAGTGATGCCAAAAAAAATTCCGTACACTTTTTAGTTGAACAAAATTTTCGTAGACTTTTTGGACGAAATTGTTCTTTCTTGGTTTTATTTTTCTTCCTAATTGCAGGTACTAAATTTTCTTCCTAATTTCTAAAGTACCTATTCTTATTTCATACGTAAATGGAGAGACTTTTCTTTTGTTATTTATATTTAGTTATTCATATTATAAACATGAGAATAATTCTATTACAATGTAGGAATATTATTCAGACTCTCAAAACTTTTAAATTGAACATAACAGAAATATTATTTAAAAAATCCCAGAAAACCCATCATGCCATGTAAAAACTCATTTTATTTGCAATCGCCTTTTTTTCTAGAGGTCATTGCTTCTTTAACAGGCAAGCGTATCAAAATTTTCCTAGACGGTTGAAAAATTTCGTCCTAGAGTGCAAATGTTTAGTTATTATCCTCAAAAAACCGGTTGACAATTTTAGATCAACATTCTTCCAAACGGTCGCTGAATGTTTTATTTCAACCATACTCGCTCTGAAAGTATTATAAAATCACAGACCAATTGTTGATGTATAAAATTTCTTTTGGGCATTCATAATCACTATTCATGTCCAAATGAAACGATTTTTTAGCCATTCATAACCACTATCCATGTCCAAATGAAGCGATTATTTAGGCATTCATAATCACAATTCATGTCCTAATGAAACAATTATTTAGGCATCATGTGTGAGCTGCTGTGGAGCGACCCGATGCCTGGTCCTGGCAGAGCGCCCAGCAAGCGCGGCGTGGGCACACAGTTTGGCCCCGATGTCACCAAACGCTTCCTGGACAACAACAATCTCGACTACATCATCCGCTCACACGAGGTCAAGGATGATGGGTACGAGGTGTCCCATGGCGGTCTCTGCATCACTGTCTTCTCTGCTCCCAACTACTGGTGCGTACAGGAGGCGTATTTGTGCTAGGATGTTTGTGTATCATGAGTAGATGGTGTTGTGTGGGTCACATGTTTGGCTTTGTGTCTTACGTTATGTAAATTAATATTAATCAATTTGTATTTAGGCTCACGTTCAGTGGTATGTATTCCGAGATTGTTTTTTCTTTATGTTACAATTTGAAAGTTTCTTCCATCGTCATTTTCAAAGATTTCTTTTTGAGCGATTTTCGACAAGCGATTTACTGCATTTCAGTGATATTCCGTGTATACATATTGAAGTCACAATATGCAATCTGCTTGCCGTTTCAGTGATACGATGGGCAATAAAGGAGCGTTCATCAACCTGCAAGGAGACACTATGGAGCCTAAATACGTGACTTACTCCGCTGTTGTAAGTTGATTAAGATTTTTACATTTTACTCGTGTAATTATTATGAAATTTTTGTGTATATTTTTGCAATTAATACTTCAAAATATTAAATAGTTGGATGTACCGATCAATTCTTATATTGTTCTTGCATTTAAAATGTTGAAAATATCTTTTTCTCGAACTCATTGCTCGAAATGTTTTTCACGACTGATTTTTCTTTCTATGTCATTAATTGCCCAACTACCTCTCAGTGTGGCACCTTTGCTAGCTTCTCGTTTAATGAAGTAAGCTGTTCATTAGGCCAATTTTACAATTTTAAGTGTTGCAACCACTCGTGCTAATCGAAGTAAAATCTTGATTTATGATCCTGCTAGTTAGAGATATCACTTAGATCTGATATCTTAATAAATGTAGGGATTTATTGATTGCAATTCTTTCTGTTCACGCAATTCGCAATCTTCGCAGGAGCATCCTCCAGTGAAGCCTATGGCCTATGCCAACTCTTTACTGCGTCTCTTCAGTTAAGCGCGTATCATTGACGAGTTTTGTTTGACATCGCTTCACTTGGCCCTGCAATACTCGTCTCTGCTCCAGTCTCGTGTCGGGATAATCCTGTGAACACATTCTTTGTGCCGTGCCTAATATTCTGCTGGTCATGTTGCTAGGTCTTACTAGTGTGGTTGAAACCCTTGTTTTTGTCTTAAAAACCGTTTTAATGATCAATATTAATGTCATTACAATTAAAACTAGAACATTTTCTGGGGGATCTGAAGATAAGTCCATGTTCTTATTTTACACTATAGTTATGAATTTGACGATCCTGGCTTCAGAAGCAAACCTCGCAGTGCCATTGAAATTTTTAATTGAGTAAAAACCTCTAGAATTGCATCATGGAACACGAAATCGAGTGAGCATTTTCGTGTCTCCTGTATTTACCGAAAGCATCGAATTAGACAATTATTTTAAGCTAAATAGTGTCAACTCCCTTGATTTATCTCCAGATTAGTTTCTATTTCAAAATTTAATCGGAATATCTGGCCCAAAGTGTTTTCCCTTGGAGGAATTTTAAGAAATTTCTAGTCAAATTTGCACCCAAAATCTTAAACAACGGGTAACCTCTAGTGATGTTTTTTAGAAATGAAACCTCGTACATGTGTATAAAAATACAGTAAAGAGCAATGAAGGTGAATTAAAATTTTATAACTCAAAAATCTTGAATTATTCTGAAACGAAAACCTCCAAAATTTTAACTATTATTCGATTGGTTTGGTTTCCGGTGTTCTCTTCCGTGTTCAATTGATCCACGAGTTTTTGGGGCATGGGTCTTCATTCCCCTTAAATCTGCTAATATAACACACGAATATCACAATAATAAAGTTACCGTTTCGTTTAGATGAAACTGTGAGCCAGTTTTTTCTCAAAATATTTTCTCGCAGTACCGATACTACCGAATGATTAAGGTCCCGTAATATTCTCACCCGTAACATCTCGTAAGAACATTTATCAATTTTAGTTCGAGTTGACAAATTATTGATGGTCAATGATTAAGAATTTAACATTTGTATGCATGTCACAGCTCGATTTGCTTTGTGATATTTGCGTATTAGTTACATATTAAGAGTCTTACTATGATGGGAATATGATGGCCGAAATGGATTATTATCCATCGAAAAAGCTTGATGCCCAGTGCCTCAAGATCATCTGCCCTATGATGGCTATATATTTTAAGCCAAATCAGCTTGACAAGTGTTTTTAAAGTGGGAACTTTCATTTTTTTCACGATTTTACGATATTAAATTTGGGGGAACACGAGTTTTTCCCTAGCCCGTACATTTATGCGACGGAATCACAAATGCAAGTAAAATTGATGTAAAATTTATGTGAGAGTAGCGTAGTCACACCATCATAGTGATAACCGCCTAGCAAAGTGCCTGTAGTCGCAACCCAGTTATCACGAGTACAACTTACTCTTAATAGCGATATTTATAATTTCCGTCACTGCGATCGCAGCCGTCGCCGCAACGCTGTCGGAGGTTTTTTTATTGTAAATCTTTGTCGTGTATTAGCGGCAGGCTGTTTCTAACTATTCCTATGGTCAATTCTGCATATGAATGAGAATTTCCTACTGTCGAGTCGCGTTTATATTTTCCTTCACGAATGTTAAAAGCCTCAAGCTTATTCAAGGGTGCAAATCGAGAGTCAGATTTTTCTTAATTTTGTCTGTTTCATGATTGTTTCATTGTGCTTGTGGAGAAAGCTATAATTAAAATTGATTCTTGATTGACGTTTTTTTCTTGTAATCATCATTTTTTAATTTGGTCTTGCACCATATCGGTTAGGTTCGAACCGCGATTCCGATGACGTGGAGACGTGTTTATCTAACCGTTGTGAGAAGCAGTGTCTTGTGCAAAACTTCTGCAACAGCAGTTTGGTTAAAGAAAGTTCAGTGATAGTATTTGCGATTCCCGTCAATACCGGTAACCTCGCCGACTGCTTGCACGGAAGTTGTCGGCCTTCAATAGAAACTTTAAAAATAGTACTGAACCACATCTTAATAGCGTGATCAAAATCAAAACAGCTTCGTAGTCACTAGTCATCATGTCATTGATGTGGTAATCGAACCCTACAGATCGTAGTTTTGACCAATATTAATTATATGGTTTTCAGAGACGATCGGTAAGGTATGTACAGTTTCTGCTGAGTGACGACTTCTGTGGTGTTGAATATAGCAGCTCAGCCTGGCGTTGTTCGTGCTTCATAATTCCTGCAATTTGAAATTCCATTCCCGTAATACCGAAACCCGTTAATTATAATAAAATCTATTTATTCAAATTAATCTAAACCTCTAAACAAATCAACATTTTACCTAAAATACAGAACTATTCGACTCTCGTTTCAAAATATGAAAGGGGCTGGAAAGGACTAGGTTATTACGGGCTAATCGGGCTATCTTGCAGTGCTCCTACAATGAAAAGAAGCAGCGGGGACGAAGTTGCAGTGTTCGAAATTTAGGTAACTAAAGGAAAAATGGCAGGAAATTATTTGGGAATTCTGGTCCGTATTGATCGGAGTGTTGGCTACTTTCAATGGGGAGCGGAAAATTCCACTGGTGCGACACTTCTCTGAGCTCAAGCGTGAACTTGTCAGTGGACTCAAACGTAAGATGCATCCGAACAGCGCATCATAAGGCCGTCAATTCTGAACGGGTTAACACAAAATTCATAACGTAACTAAGAAAAAGCAATAATCCGTGGGAGGTGCCAATGACACGCTTTTACGTCGTTTTGTTTTCGGTTAAAACGGAAAACGGCAACATCCCTACCGACAATGCCTACCGCGTTATCTTTCTTTAGATTAATTAGGTTTTAAATTGTATGCAGATCCGTTCAGAACTGAAGGGCTTATGAGCTGTTCAGTTGCGCAGATGTTTTATTTTCCGTTTTAATGGAATACAAAATGATATAAGAATCTGTTAAAAATTTCCCCGCAGTGTGGTCATGACTTGTTGGGTTGCGCAAAGATTGCGTTTTTTTCTTTTTAATCTAAAACGAAATGACATAAAAATGTAATAATTCCTATCAAGGCGTATTGCTAATAATGTTTAGTTTCAGAATTTCAGACAGGCCCATTTAAATTAGAGAGTCGTAGGCTGTTGCCAAAAAGTTAGGTTTCTCGTTTTAATTAAAAACGAAATGACAAATTAACCAGTCATAATTCATTTCAAATCCGTTCAGAATTGAGGTACTTATAAGCTGGGGCCGTATTATCAAAACTTCGTAACTTTTTGTACTTCCGACCAAAAAGTTACGGGTTACGTAAGTACACCCTAATTTTGGCATTATCAAAACATTCGTACGTAAGACTTAGCTAAAAGCGTATTATCAAAACCATGTGGCCAACTGACCAATCAGAGGCTTTGGATTTGTTTACATTCTGTGAACTTCGATGGTATCGACTATCGAATGCTGTCTGTCGGTATTGCTCCTTGTTGGCCCAGAAAAAGCCGTTCTAATATAGTTGTGAACTCTTTTTAATAAACAGCGTGAGTTGAAGAAGAAATCTGTGTACGGAGCTAAAAATTATGGTTGGCAGAGATATAAAGTATCGACTAGAAGGAATGAACGAATTGAATTTTTGAAAAAATGAATTGAATTTTTTTCCAATAGCACTGTTTAGCACGATCACATATTTTGATCGTGCTAATGTTGCACGATCAAGTAGTTGAGCCATCACAAGTAGAGCCATCATTCTATGCGTGTATAATCCGCGCTGTCGGATTATTGACAAAGTTCTATCACAAGTCAAGGTGTTGCTACTTGCTAGTAAATCAATAGTTTCCTTCCTATCGCTTCAGCAGACACTCTAAACTTGTGCGGAACTCCACCTACGACATCTCCGAGCAGGCGTACAGTTACGTTACGTATCTTCCCGCGCAAATGTTTCGATAATACCACCTCTAGAGTTACGTCATCAAGTCAGCACTTACGCCACTTGTAAGTCGATTTTGCGTACTTACGAAGTTTTGATAATACGACCCCTGGTCGGTTACGCTAGACGCTAGAGTTTGCGCTTGATTTCGGCAAAGCTAAATAATGGTTGACAGCTGCCTGTTTTTTTTCCAGGATTCTATGCACTCGTGAAGCATCTCAACTCGTTGTTGATAAGTGCAATGCACCTTGGTCGTACATCAATTTGATAAGAAGAAATAAGTCACGTACCACTAGATAGAGAGGGATGTTGCTTCTTTATTTGATTATATTATTCGTTTTACGGCATCCCTAGAAGGTATGCACCGATCTCATTGAGCTCAATGTTTCAATTCGCTTTTCATCTTAGAACGAATGTATAATTAAATACGAATGAGCATGAGTACTTTTGAATCTTTTTTTTAATATAATAACGTCTTTGCTCTTTGGTCCATGATATTGATGAAGTGCCTCTAAGTTACCAGTTTCTGCGTTTGCCAGTTGCCTGTCCAGCTGATGCACCAGGCGACAGGAGTCAGTGTCACTCTAGACGCATTGGGGTGAGTGTTACCTTTCCTGCAGCTTTACGTCGTAGTATCAGACCCTCTGTCGCTAGCGAATTAAACTTTAATTGCGAGGGTAAGTTGTGCTTCTTGTTTTTCTAAATGTTTTTTGGCTGTTGCGTAAACTATATTCGAATGCTGTTTCGCCTTTTATATCTGCAAAGAAGGAAATATTGCTAATCTTTGTTACCGGTGAAAATCCAGAGCGATTTTGGCATTTAAAAGTAATAAACGCGACCAAGCAGCTAGTATATTAATAGGAAAATTGATAATAGATTTGGTAATTCAACTCATTATGTAGGCTATGATTTACCTATTGACCGATATGCTTTGAGTTTCCTGAAGTGAAAGTTGTGTGGTAAATTCCCTTCATGGTCCCTTCCGTCTTCGCAACGTAAAACATTTCTGACTTCGGGATAAGTTCGTTAATATTTTATTTTCAGGGGATATTAGGAGTTTGAAAAGTCATTACTGTGAATTTTTTGATGAAAAACTTGTAACTGTGTAATTCGTTTTGTATTAAGGAAATTATCGTCCAACTTAGTTATCCCTAACTGCTATTAATACTAATAGGTACATGCACTTACTAATGCTAATTTTGTAAACGCTCATAAACGATCATTTCCTGTGTACGTGGAACGCCTGCTTGTTTAGAATTATTCATATAATTAAAATGAAGTAGAATTCGCATCTGCGCATAAATTATATTTAAACCAAGACGATGAGAGCAAGAGAATTATGTCGGAATTGTGAGACGTTCCTAATTTTAAATCGATTCAACAAGTAACAAGGTACCACTCATAAAATGTTCTCTATAAAACGTAGATTATTAAGCACATTGCTAAAAATTCTGTTGCCAAGTGGATCGTTCAAAGGAGCTATCGCTCGGGACCTGGGCATGCCGAGTCAATTTCCCACTAAGAAAAACCTGCATGACAAGGTTTTATATAGTTCCTTGAATAAATGTTAAGGATGCTGAGGCTTCTTGGAAATTTTCATGCGTGCGTCCTGTAGCGTTATTTCTGCAAAGTCAAATTACCGTAGAACCCGTTCTTTTTAAAGACATGCATATTGCTTCGACACAGTGCATTTAAATCTCTGCACTGGCTGTATATGTGATGTTGGAATAATTTTTATTCTCAGCAATGATAGGAGCTAAGGGGCTCCGAAAAATTACACATTTACGCTTGATTAAATTTTATATGCGGTTGCCTCAACATGCCGGTAAAGGACTCTGCTTTTACTACGCAAAAGACAACGTCACAGCATTCGGATTCTTGGATATGACTCTGACTGCAAAACTGCTCAAACAGAATCATAAATACTTTTTTGCCTCCGAGATGCCTTGAGCGCTGTCAAAGCAAAACAGTTTTGTCAGTTCTGATGCATTGAGATTCTTATGAAAGAAGCTGTGTCACCTTGACATCCTTTTGATGTCGATGTTCAGGTTTTCGTTATTCCACTAAACTAAAGCGACGTACTCGTTCGTTTGTGGATGAGAATTATTTTCTAACATCATTTGGAATTAAGAACATTTTCGAAATATTGTCTGATTCAAACTAAGAACGATATAGATATCTTAAGCTGATTCTAAATTATCGGAAAGAGATTTCATTTTTTTTAAGTTTCTACATTTATTTTCAACAATATAGTCGTCTAGATACGTGCGTGAGTTACCGTTTCCTAAGGTTTATCTAATATATTGCGCGTCTGTTATAAAGCTGAAGCAGTAGGTTCTCATATAGAGTTTTTTGTTATCAATACACAATACTTCTGTTTGGTGTAAATTTTGCTCACTGTAATGTCTGTCTCGAGGCATCCACTCTTGCTTGCCTGCAGTTTGCGCCAGCCGGTTATGAGCAGCTAAATCCACTTCTATACGCGATAGTTGAGAGGTCGTCGGGTATAATGCACCTGTTTAAGGCATTATTTCGAAATCATATATTTACGCTGCAATTTTGAAGTTTTTATGGCCAGTCACAGATTTAAACATTGAGCAATGACATTTTATGTCAAGAAGTAGGTAATTTTCTATCGAAAAGTATTAGATATTTCAGACCCAAACAGCTGATCGAAAACTCCGTAAAGAAGTGAAATTTATAGTAATTCGAGAATTGATTAATTTAAAATTTTAGGAAAACTTGAATGATAATATGGGATCATACCAAAATATTGATGAATTCTTGGTAGCTCTGGATGGGTTTCGAGTGATAACAAAACAAATTTACTATCTAAACCTTCTATTCCAGTTCAGAAAAATGGCTCATCCTGGCTCAACGTCTTTACGGCGGCCATTGCTGCAGTTGTTACGTAAACCCATAACTGTAACAGCTTTCAACAGCGCCCCTGCCCACGGACAGCGAGTGGCATCGCTGCAGCCCTCGCCGCTACAACAGACGCGAAGCCTGCAGTACTACAGAGGTGGGCTGGCGACTGAGGGTCTAAATTAGGCGTTCATGTTAGAAATTTTCAGGTTCAGGTTAATAAATTTTGCAATTATTTATTTACCTTTCAACTCGTAAGGCGAAACAAATTACAGGATACATCAAATGCCCATCATTTTGTTAGTTTTTTTCTTCGATTATTTCATCTTTGTGTTATTCTTGTATTTATGCTTTTTTAGCATGGTAAAAATTATCTAATGACGCTGAGATTTCCTAGTTTTTTTTTTTAAGGAGTCTGATTTGCGGAAAGTTAGAGATTCTTGCCAGACTCCGAACGATATAAACAACTTGAGGTAACCTCGGCTTCATAAAAAAAACGAGCTAATTTCAATTAAATATAATTGTTTTGAAAAAATAAGAAAATTTGTCTTTATCCATAATTTGTCTATTACGTGATCATGTACCTACGAATTTAAATCAGTGGTTCGGCCATGTAATTTTTCTGCAAGTTTGACAATCCATTGGCAACGTTTGCTCCCTGTGACCTCACAAAGGGTCATTGTACGTTGCCCTTTACAGGCAGGTCGAGGTTAGAAGTGATAGTTGTTAATTCTGATAAGCTGCACAGAGTTGCTTAGCTAACCATAATGCTTCACAGTAAAAACAATTTGGTGTTTTCTTAAAGGGTTCGGTCACCAGAGCCTTCTGAACAAATGAGGCGCATTTTCGACGCTGTTTATGTTGTGAATTTTACAAAGTAATGCTGCATTAGAATGGTAGATATTGAAAAACTTTATTTCTCAAAGAGAAAAATGATCTAAAAAATGTTACGACGAACCATCGTAATGAATTGACCCCAGTGTTTGTTAAGCAATAGTTTGCGCCACTGTTTTCCTCGAGTTCCCCATCCATGCTTGCATAATCTTAGTACTTGAGATTACGAGCGCTGTATTCTTGAGGACATGTGTACAGGTCTGATGTATATGAAGCGAATGTATCGATGCAATATCAAGATAATTATTTAGTTTGAAATAATTCGGTTAGTTTCATTAGCGGTTCTCATTCGAAAATTGAATCCGGTTAATTAATTTCATAAGTGAATGAATTTAAGGAAATCTGGAATATTGAAGGCAGGTCGGAGAAAAATATTTAATATTTCAGAATAGGATCAGTTTATAGGAACGAAATTTATTCGATGTTTTACCTTAAGTGCCTCGCTGAGCATTGTTTTTGCGTACTTTTTGTGTTGTGAACTAATTTTTAGCTGTTTTGCTCTCTGCGTATGTATCGCATTATTATTTTAACCATATGTCTCTGAGCATCTTTATATACATGTGTCCATATTTTTATAATTACTTCTTATTTCCTTTGTATAACTGTTTGTAACAACATATGTGCTGATTTTCTCATGCATAAGAGCTCTGCTTTCCTCATTTGCATGTAGGCACGGCCACTGTAGCAGCGGAATACGTCCAACGAAACGCCAACAAAGACAAAGTGCCAGCCATAGTATCAGCGCTTCCGGGCCAGCATCTCACCGCTAAAGTTATCTACGATGACCACACAACGGCTGACTTCAAGTACATCTGGGTTAGTGGGTGTCTTTTGCTGATAATCTCGTGAACTATTAACCTTTTCCTTTCATGTGAGCTTGAACCGTTTGATAACAATTTTATTTTTTTGGTAGACATTTATTTCATGATTCACCATATTTGTGAATCATGAACCAAATGAGCTCCTAAGGTGACATTTTTCCCGAGTGAATGCTACATGATGTCATGCAACCAACGCAAGATTTTTTCTGTCGTGAAGTTGCGCGACAACTGCAAGTGTCGCGCTTGTATGGACCCGAGCTCGCAACAGAAGCTTTTAAACACTCCTGCTCTGGACGTCAATATTCGGCCAAAAACTGTGTCCATCAATGAAGCAGGCTCTCTTGAGATCGTCTGGAACGATGACGAACTTCACACTTCTGTTTTCGATCCTAAATGGTAAAACACATTTGGTAAAAAGAGATTTGGTTAAGATTTGGTTAAAAGAGATCTGGTTAAAAGATTTGGTTTTGGTTAAGAGATTTGGTTAAAAAGATATTTGGTAAAAAAGAGATTTGGTAAAAAAGAGATTTGGTTAAAAATCTAATGACATTTGCAAAAACAGATGTTAGGTCAAATTTTTATTGTTTTAATAACAAAGACGGATGTTTTTTAAGTAAGAAAGCTTTTGTGTAGAAACAAAATTAAATCGAGCAGTTATTGCTGAAAGTTATAGAATATAAAATGGAACTAGTGCGCTTTTTCTATCATTCAGGTTGTAATGATCTTTCAAGCGTACTGAAAGTTGTATATTTCCCGATCATTGCGACGTTGAAAGGACGATCAAAATTCGACTGGCGAGTGAGTTTCTTTTTGTATTCAGGCTCTTCAAATACGGCCAATCTTTCATGCACAATGCTTTCGAAATGGACAATGCCGAAAAAGAAGGCCTTCCTGTCCGCTCGGAGCCGGAACTCTGGGATCGCACTGACATTTGGAAGAATCTGCCCGAGCTTTCCTATAATGAGTTCAAGAACAGTGAGGAAGGTCTCTTCACTTGGCTGGATATGTTCCATAAGGTAGCTGTGTTCATCTGATACATGTGCACTATTGTGTGAGGTAATTTATGCCGAGTTTTAACAGTGAATCTACGCTTTAAAAAATATCTACATAAAATTTGTCGGAGATCAGGAGTTCCTAATAAAAAAATTAGGAATAATTTGATATTTCCTCTTGTGTGTCCATAAGAGCGGCATAATTTTGAACTTAAACCTCTATGTCACAGTACGGAATAGCGCTTTTGCGCGGTGTTCCGGCACTTTCGGAGCAGATCATCGGCGTAGTGAAGCGTTTTGCGTACGTCAAGGAGACGCAGTACGGACAAATATTTGACGTCATCAACGAAGCTAAGGACGGGGCACACTTGGCCTTCACTGGCATGGCTCTTGCCTATCATACTGACATGAACTACAGGGAAAAATCGCCTGGAATGCAACTGCTGCATTGCCTCAAGGTCTGCACGTAGTTTCGGTTATAGAGCATTTATCAATATACTCCGAGGAATGCTGCAATATTTTAGGCTTGTTTTTTGGCGATAAATAGGAAAATGCTTTCATATTTTTTTCCGATATTTGGTTTCCAGGCAAATAATTCCGACAAAGAGAATGACTTCGGTGGACGCTCCATGTTCGTTGACGGGTTCAGAGCGGCGAGGTGGATGGAAGAAAACGAGCCCACGGCCTTCCACGTCCTCACTTCCACTCCCATCCGGTAATTGTTGCAAATTACGACTATATGGAAAAGAAGCAATTTTATTCATGAAATTCATATATCGTGAAATTGTTTCGACCTCTCAATCCTCGCACTCTCTCAAATTTTGACTCGTTCGCAGGCAAATTTGGCGTACTGCCCACTGCCACTGTTAGTCGATTTTGCTCATAGCCGTTTTTTAAGCGCATCAAACAAAGCATCCCCCTTGTAGATTCTCCATCAAGAACTCCGGCATGCGGTACTCGGCTATCTGGCCCGTGATTTGCACCAACAGTGACGGCGACATAACCGAAATTCACTACAACAACCGTACGATGCAGCCTCTGCAGGCTCCCACTCACGTCGTAACTCCCTTCTACCACGCCTACAAAGTCAGTCCACGAAGCTAACAAATATTTTGGAACGGTAGTGGTAGCCCATTATTTATTTATTCGCTTTTCAATTATTAGGATCAGATTTTGAGATGGACAGAAAATTTTTACTTCAATCTATCGTCACTCAAAAACAAGATGTGGGTATATATGTTCATATACATAAATTTTACCGTCATGACTCAAGGATTATTGTCGATTTTTGTATCGTTGAATCACGTTTTTCATCATTTTGAATGGTATAACATAGCTTGTTTCATCTCCTGTTAAGTCATGTAGGTGTTGAGGTTAAAAATAATTTTCAAAGTGGTTATTGTCTCGTGTCTCGCGGTTTACCACCTCATGACAACTGAATCAAATATGCTCCCATAAATTGGTATCGGGACGCTTCTCAAAATTTCATTCCCGATCCGCGCTGCAATTTTGCATTCAGTCATCACATACAACCTCAGGAGCACAGCTGAGAAAATTTGCTACTGAAAAATTTATTTAGAAATCATGCAAAGGCTAATCTTCTTCGTATCCTTTTCGCTGCAGTTGTTCTCGCAAAAGTTGAATGAGGCGTCAGCAGGCTTGGAGTTCAATATGGTACCTGGAGATCTCGTGGCCTTCAACAACCGCCGGATCTTGCACGCTCGCTCTGCCTATGACCCTTCCAAAGTTGAGAGGCAAGGAAACAGAAGCTGGTTCTTGTGTATATAGTTACTATATTATATGTTCATATACGGTGAATTCATACGAAATTTATATTCTGTTTGAATCCTTGACGAATTAGGACTTCAAGCAAACGAATGATATAAATACTTCCAATTTCCCATACAAAGTAAAGAGGTGAAAATTTTTGTTGAACAGGCACTTGCAAGGCTGTTATGTGGACATCGACGAAGCTTTCTCCAAATATGATCAGCTTCTGATGAACAGATGCTAAAAATAAGGTATGAGTCTTCATTTGAGGAATCAGATTAATTCAAACCATATTTATCCAATAAACTTCATGACAACTCACTGTTAAATTTTATCGAAGCTACTTAGATGCTAGTACTTCTACCACAATTCATGTAATGACTTGGACATCAACAGTATTTATGTTTCTCACGCTCAATTATGACATTATAATCTGACATTGCACCACTCGAAAAAAATCTAGAAAATTGCCTCGTTTATGGTAATGAGATCTCTTATAAGTAGAAATTATACAACGGAACTAATGAAACGAAATATGCACATTTCTCTTTTTCAATATGTACTTTAGGTTAGATAAATGAAATAACTTGCATAATAATGAAATAATGAATACCATTTTGCAGGATATGAAGACGTAATGTTGCGGGGCAATGCAACCGTCGGCCCTCGTGATCTTCCAAGATCCAGGCTTTTTGACGCAATTTGCGGACGAAAAATTTAAGCTAAATTTGAAACATTTATAGGTTTAAAACCTAAGTTGTGATAATAGTTATTATGAATTAGTCATACAATAGCAAAAACTTAATTTTATATCGTCTGTTAGCCGAGTTAGGATAGAAATGATATAGAGAACGGTAATGAGTGACATCAAAACAGGAGGCAACTTTCCTTGATTTGCTACGCAGACAAAAAAAAAATATATATATATATATAACTCAGTACTCACTGCAGTGAGTGACAGAGAGCGCATTTTCTCGTCGACGAAAACTTGAGGTCACGGACAGACGGACGGACAGAGGGACAGACAGACAGACGGACGGACATGGCGAGCACAATAGTGCATTTTTTCCATAAATGAGAAAATGCGCTAAAAAGGGAATGAAACGGTCTATACTTGCGTAAATTTGCAAGAAACTATGTTTATACTTCGACATGATGCAATCATTATATACATAGATTAAAGACATTATTTCTTAGTTATAATTCAAAAGAGATTCCCATTTGTTTTTATATTAAGTGTTACTTGAAATTCGAATAAGGTTATTCAGGAAAAAGTATACTATCGTTGTGGTACATGTACGGCTATATATATAGTTCTCATTTTTAATAACTATGTAGTAAAATACATCTGGGTAATTATTTACATCTTATCTGTTATTCAAATTAAATCTATAATGCACAAGATAATGCGACCATGCGTGTCATTTAGGATGCATCTCTGTAGCTCACATACCAAGTGTGTGTTATTAATAACAAGTATAATCACTCTGACAGATCAAATCATGAAAATTTGAGGTACATGGAAACGTTGGAACGTACACAACAAGGTCGTCACGTTATAAATATGGAGGACTCACACAGACACGGTACAGAATGACATTTTAACACCAGTGTGCATACTTGCCAGTCATGCCGTGCTCTTCATTCAAGGTCTGAATAAACGATTGTTAGGTGTTTTCTGGATACCTTGATGACGATTTTACCAATATTTGTTTGCCTTCCATTATAAAGGCCAGTTACTCCAAGTTTGTTTAATATTAACTAAAAGACAAAATTAAAATTTCCAAGCACTGTTCCCACATCAAGATCCATATTAAGAAGATTCTTTAGAAGACAACTAATGGTAACGGTTGCGCAATGCTAGAGTTTGGTATAAAACAAAACCTTTTTGAGTAATAGTCAAACTAAACTTCATGCAAGACTAGGAAGAACAGTCTAGCCTATTTCATTCAAATACTTCATGAATAATACGATAATCTGCGGATAACGGAAGTAACTCCTGAAAAGAAAGCTAGAAATAAGCCATCTCATGACGGGAGCAAACATAGAAGCTCGTCGCAGAGGCGGTTTAAGCGGCAAGCTGACAATGCTTCCAGCAGGACGGTTGTGGCACTTGACCCAGTGCTGCCATACAGCTCTTCCAGCATCTGAAACACAATTAATTATTCGCCACACTGATGTTTGACACCAAAATCATGTACAATAACCAACCGTAGCATGAATAGCATAAGTTTTCGGGACGCAGTATAGACCCCTACATAGCCCTTGCCCACAATTCAATATCTATTCCTTTCCGCTCGTAATCACGCTAGAGAGCATATTAGCCTGTGTGATTAAGTGCCTAACGCCATAGGTGTCATTTCCTTTCCTAGATATGAATCAATCAGCCAACTGACATCAAGCCACCGAAGCAACAGCCATGGGCAAATAGCCAAACTGTTGCGTGCATGTATTAAACACAGCCTGGCGTATTCGCGGCTTTTGAAAATAAGCGCCCGACATAACAGCGCCTTTACTTCACAGCCACTGCTTCATGGCGCTCTACTACACAGGCTAAAGCGCAAACCGCCGTCCCTATAACGCCATGCCCCGGCTCTCCCCCTGCGCAGCCAGCAGAAGGCTTTTCTCTTTGCCCGATCAGTAATGCGCCGGGCGCGATGGAGGGACCTAACCTAACCTAACTTAACCCAACCAAACCTAACCTAACCTAACCTGGCGCACAACTGATCAGCAATTGAAGAAAGCCTTATGGCTGCGAAGGGGGAGAGCCGGGGCATGGCGTTATAGGGACGGCGGTTTGCTCTTCTGCCCGTGGAGTGCGGCGGGATTACGCCAGTCCTGCAAATAGCAGAGCAGGTTTACGGTGATCCGGCGTGGTCTGCGGCCAGTAAGGCTTACGGCGTGTGTAAGAAGTGATAGTATGGGGTAAAATTCTGTGGAGTAGGACCTGTTGACAATTGACTATTTTATTCAGCAGGCTGTGGAGTCAGGTAGGTGTTGCTTAAAGTTGGTTTGGGGAGATGACTCAGTTACGTACAGCTTCTTGGGTGTGAGCTGAGTTTAGTTTTTGCATTATAGGGTAGGCGTTGGCGCTAGGGCTTGTTTACGAGCTAAATTTGTGGTGCAGGGCTGCGCTCCCTAAGTTTTCCTATCATTTAGTCAATGACATTCGAGCCACGAGATTTCATACCTACTGAAATTATATGATATTAGAGCCGCGATATTTCAGACAAAAATAGGACTTTTCCAGACTAGCATTACACCTTTTTAGTTAAGGTACGACCTAGGCTATGAATGATTATTTGTATTCTATTAAATTATTGATTATACAATTATTTTTATTTAATTATTGCTTTTTTTCTTACTCCTTACTAGGTAGCCTCTTTTTTTCAAATTTGCGGGGCCTCTGAACTCTGAAGACCAGTCTAATGCGGCCCCACGACCAAGTTTTCCAGGACGCAGTAATGGCGGTATAGACCCCTACATAGCCAGGATAGCCCTTGCCCACAATTCAATATCTAGAAGTGATAGTATGGGGTAAAATTTTGTGGAGTAGGACCTGTTGACAATTGACTATTTGATTCAGCAGCCAGCAGGCTGTGGAGTGAGCCAGTGAGGTAGATGTTGCTTAAAGTTGATGTGGGCCGTGGGGAGATGACTCAGTTACGTACAGCTTCTTGGGTGTGAGCTGAGTTTAGTTATTGCATTATAGGGTAGGCGTTGGCGCTAGGGCTTGTTTACGAGCTAAATTTGTGGTGCAGGGCTGCGCTCCCTAAGTTTTCCTATCATTTAGTCAATTAATTGACTAAGTATCAATCGATCAAAACATTATTAGGCATGATGACTCACTGTGATTATTTTAGTCTTTGTGTTGAGTTTTGCGTCGTCTTGGAGATCCCTGACAAAATTCCTCATGCCAGGCAATCGTCTGCCAACATCCAGCCATCGGCGTCCTAGCTCCTCGCTCAGGTAATCAACAACTGCAAGCAAATATATGATTAGAATATGTAAAATCTGATAATAAACTACATAATGAAATCAGAGGTTGCCCGAATATCAGACAATAAGTGATTAAAAAATAGGTAAGTTCTATAAAACGGAATGATTAATGTAAATCTATTTCAAATAAAAAAATGACACATGGAAGGATTCATGAACTGGGGTATAAACTGGGGTAAGTTAATAAAGAAAATAAGCGACTTGGACTGATCAGACACTCATTCAATTTCCTAGATGCAGAAGCGATGAAGCAATTGTTACTTGCTGTCGTGCGCCCGAACCGAGAGTTTGGAAACGTCATGTGGTCACCGAAACTTGAAAAGGACAAAAATTTTGTCGAGAGTGTTCAAAGACGTGCAACAAAGATAATTCCGGACTTGAAAGGCAAGTCCTATGAGGAAAGATAAAAGATTAAGAAGCTTCCAAGCTTCAGTTATCGACGTCTGCGTGGGGAACTCGTTGAAGCATACAAGTATACTCATGGCTTATACAAGGTCGCAAAAGGCTTACTAGATTTTGAAACAAGAACCAACACCAGGGGCCACGTCTTTAAACTAAAAAAAACGTGCGTTGTAACACATCCATGCGACAACATTTCTTCTCGCTTTGAGTCACCGAACAGCCTCCCTGATAGCATCGTTGACGCTCCGAGTATGAACGCATTCAAGAACAGACTAGACGAAGCTATGCAGGAGCATATGTTCAGTATTAAAATGCCTAGCAACTAACAGACCAGGCAATAAGTCCAGTGGCTATCTCAATCAATCGTCAGTTATGGAAAGATCGGGTTCCAAAGGCCGGATCCCTAACTGTGAATCAAGTCACGAAAAGACGAAAGGTTCAAGAATCGGCAACAGGTCATGGGCCTATTTCTTCAATGCCGACACTTCTATTCTATTCTATGAGAACTAGGAAACAATAATACAGTATAATAATCAAGTCAAAAATACAGTGGTTAGACAAAATAAGGGAAATACCTGAGAAATCCATAAAATAGGTATATTATATTACGGTGTAGATCCTCCTTTTGCCGCAATTACAGCCTCAATTCTCCCAAATATTGATAAATAAAAATTGTGAATTGTTTCCAAAGGAATTAAAACCCATTCTTCAGTTAAAACTCCCCGAGCTTTTCAAGACGATGGCGGCGGAAATCGACTTCTGACTTGCATCTCAAAATAGATCATAAATGCTGTATAATATTCAGGTCTGGTGATTGTAGTGGCCAAATGATATGTTCAACTTCATTAAAATGTTCCTTGTGTCATTTTTTAACAATTCCAGCTGCATGGGCCGAGGCATTACGTATTATCTAGAAAAATGGCGTTCCCTTCCGGAAACAGTGCTTGAACCATTGTATGAACTTGGTCCTTCAAAATTTCAAATAACCACAACAGTTGGTTCCTCCATGAAGAGAAATCATTGGTCCGACGGTTTTCCAAGAAATAGCATCACAGATCCCCCGCCATGTTTTGTGGTTGGGAGGCAGTCGGTATTAGATGGCTCTTTTGGCTGTCTTCACACGGAAACTCGGGTATAGATTGGAACTAATGTAAACGATGATTCGTCAGAGAGAATCACATTTTTCCACTGCTCGAGAGGCTAATTCTGGATGTTTTTACACCACTCTAAACGCTTTGAAACATTTGTATTTGAAACCAGAGGTTTTCCAATTGCAGCTCTTCCATAGAATCCAGATCTGTGTAGCTCTCGGCGAACAGTCTATATGGAAACTGGGTTCTGTAGGTGTCCATTGAGGTCTGTAGTAATTTCAACAGCCGTTGTCTTTCGATTGTCCCTCACAATTTTATTTAGGTACCGACATTCTCTCTCAGACAACTTCAACTTTTGGCCACACCTGTGTTTTGTTGAGGACGTTTTTCCCTCCCGTTAAAAACTGTCATTACTTTTAAGACAGTGCCTCTGAAAATTTAAAGTAATCGGGAAGTTTCTATTACATTAGCACCTGCCATACGGGAACCAACAATTTGGCCTCTTTGAAAGTCAGAGAGGTTTGCCATTTATAGGTTATAGACAAAAAAATGTACAAACACTATCTGTGCAAGGATTAAATCCCCCTGTCATTAAATAGCAGCAACAATAAACGATTAAACATAAAAATGTCAGGCGTTTCCCTATTTTGTACAACTCCTGTATGTAGTATTCTTGCCAATTGTATTGTAATTTAGATATACACAAAAGTTTGGCTCTGGCTATTGGTATTTTAATCTACCATATTGCACTACAATCTAATTTTCATACTCGCTCATCTTTCAATTCTATTGAATTTATACATATTTGAATGTACAAGAAAAATTCTATGCTTCTTTCAAAAACAGATCCGATGCTATTGTAGAGTTAATAATAAAATTACACAATAAACCTACATGTTCAACGTGACATGGTACCGTGCTATAGAGAATTCAATGCATTATATTTCAATGGACTTACTCTTTGAGTAATATTCAGGAAGTTGTGGCCTGACATGAGAATCTGAGTATTCATTCCTTGATGAAGAGGGCCTGGGTAAAAATTGCTGTTGTTGGGATAGAGATGGCAATGACAAGCAAGGGCAAGTCCTGGTGTTACAGATGGACTGTTGGTAATGCTCTATTGAATCATGAATGCTGGCATCATAGTCTTGCAGGCTGTCATAAAATTGCTTCAAAATCTCAATCCTGTAACAAATAATAAGGAAACATGTATTTTACAAGGTTGGGGGGGGGGGGCACAATCAAATAAAAAGTAGTAAGATCTTGCAACAAATGTGATAAAAGAAATCTAAACATCAAAAAATTATGAAGTTGGGATGCCAAGTCCTGATAAAGAAACCATAAAGTTAAATCATGAAAGTGAATTGAACACAAGTTGTTTCATTGTTTGAATATATAATTTAAAAAAAGAGTTATACCTACCGTATCATCTCATATTTTATGCTTACTTAGAAGGAGACAGCAACGCCCATTTTTCCAGAAGTTGTAGTAATTCTTCAGGCTGATAACAATCATGAATTGCTCTGAGAGGAAGGAGGTCATTGTGTGATAGTAGATGACGTTCAGCTATTCGATGCATGCAGTGCTGCAGACTGAAAAATTAACAACATTATTAGTTCTTGCCAAACTCTTTGGTCTACACTTTAATTAAGCAGTGGGGGAATTCACACCCCATTGGTCTCTACAGTCAGCAAAAATATCAACATTTTTCACTGAAGCATAATTGAACTATATAATTCACTACAAAGACATTGAAATGAATCAACACCAATAACATCAAATAACATCACGTTTAAGTAAAAAATAAGATATACTGTTCCACCTCGCAATCAACTAAGAAACAAAAAGCAAACTACATGGGACAAATAACAATAATGTTTTCTTTGCAATCAATCAAAATCATTTTCAAATAATGCAATGTATAATGCAGCTTGGAATTCTGTTTTCAAAGATTTTCACCCTGGCACTATTTCAATACAGACTGTTAAATGCAGTACCTGTATAACCTTTTAATAAGAGCAGAATCAGATATAATTTTTATATAGTAATTCTTCATCATAACAAAACCTGCTTGCGCTGCATTTGAAATGAAAAAAAAAATTGCATGTATGTTTTAACTGCCATTGCAAAGTTAAAAATTATGTAATTTTCAAAAAGCAGTAAAGTTGAAATCTTAAACTATAAAGTCTGATCCTCTATATAAACTTTAAGTAAGAAAATATCAGACATGTTATTAAAAGATATAGGTAAGGGTTGGAACAATCATATTTACTTTCTAAAATCTTGTGTTTCTCAGGGCTTGTACCTTTTCTAAGAAGGACACCTTTTTTATCAAATCTGAAATCTCATGGTTTCAAAGTCATGTATTCTGGTTTGATAAAAAATTGTGTGGCTCACAAATACATCATTCCAACAAAATTTGATGTTCTGCAATTTATTTTTACTCTCCCTCCAAAAAATTCTGAGCATAAAGCTTTTTGGTTAATGGTCTTGGAGTTTTGGTGATACTAGCCTACTGACCTCCCACTCAAATACTCTTTGTTTTTGCATAATGTACTTGTCCATTGTCTGCAAATTGCCAGCCATGTGAGATATCTTAAAACTGCATACAGTTATGCTGCATTCTTGCAGAAAACACAAAGATTGCATTATAACAGCAAACATGCAAAATTGCTTCTAATGTAAAGCAAAATGTTTTGTTGCAATTTAAGATAAATTAGAGATATAATGCAAAGCTGACAGGGGTTGGAATATTAACTGTCATGTTTTAAAATTTTGTTCATGGATAAAAACTAAAATCATGGCCAAAAATTCAAGATATAAACAGCTTCAAAAAGATGATCATAGCAGGGAGAGTTGAACTTTTTGACAGTAGATTGAAACATTGTCATTAAGCTGGTCAATAAACCAAAACCAACTCTCTTTGTCATTAGATAGTACACAGTTGACTGAAAATTTCCTACCAAATATTGCAATCCTGAAGCTAAAAAATTATACTTTCCAATAACTTTGGAATCTCCAGATTAATCATGAACTTGTTATTATAAATTAGACAGGAGATAGTTCATATAGCAGGAATCTGATGGCTCCAAAAAGTGGAAGGAAAGCTCAGTTAGAGCTTGGAATGTAGACATATTTCTTGCCTAGACATTTCTTGTAGACATATGGTATTTCTTGGAGTGCATAATGCCTAGGGAAGAACTAGTCTACAGAAACCTCTCACCCTAGAATATCAATATGCTTTAGTGGCATTGATGAAAGACATCTTTTGCACTGGCGCACCAGTGCCAGTGTGAATAATGTAATTAAAAAGATCATTAAAAAAAAGATCCTAAAGTAATTAAAAAAAATACAACTTCAAGCAAGATTTATGAAATTAAGGAAGAATTGCAAACCATGAATTCTTACCTTTGCATAGGAACCCCATGACAGTGATTAGCAAAAATTTCCTTCAGTTTTTCATAACAAATTTGAGTCATCTTTCCAACAGATAAATGAGTCAACTACAGATATACTAACGGTTTTATTTGCTGCATCAAATCAGACTGATCAGAGAAAAGGATTTGGGATGTGGTGACCCTGAAAGAGACAGTCATTAGTTAGGCCTTTATATAAATATCTGCTATCTGCCATGCATCATCACACATTTATTTGTTTATGTCAAATTGTTGGCCAGAGAATAGAAAAGCAAGGTCATGTAGCCTGTAGGTCGTAGGATGATAGGTGTAGGAGCAATATAAGAATAAAGGCTAGAATGAAGAAAAAAAGGGGCAAATAAAGTTCATGAGGACAGTTATTTGATATATTAATGTTCTGCCTCTTTAACTGCAATATACCTAGGTACTGGTAATTTTCAGAATTGGTATAAAATGTATTACTATTAGATATTTTGAGCTTTTATACCATAATCATTAGTGGATTTTTTGAGCTTTGTTATTGTTACAGTTATGATTATATTATTCTATTGCTTGTTTCTTGGTTGGTTGGTTTTGGGTTAAAGCCTAAAAAAAAGTAAAGCAGGCAACACCGCAGCAACTTGACATGAATCATGTATGTTTGGCCTTGACAACCCACAGACCATGCCCCAGAGTACTGACAGTAGACAGTAAATTCAGATACAGCCCAAACCTAATAGAAGCAATTTGACCGTTTCCATCTACATTCAATACAAGCTTCTTTGACTTTTAGTTAAGGTCATATGGAAGTGTAGGATGTGCAATATGGACTTGGCAAATTGGAGTCTGCTGTCTGGTGACTCAGGACTCTGAAAAAGGATATTCCACAGTCAGGCCTTTACAATCGCCATCAGTTATGCATGACATATCACATGTTCATTTGGTTAGTAGGAGAGAATCAGAGAAAAAATGGAGACCTAGCCAGGTAGAAGCCATGGTCAGGAAGATGTGCCAGGTGCGCGGGAATTTATTTTGTCATTTCAACGACCTGCGCGGTGCGCCGTACTACGTTGGTAAAAAGATGCGCCGTGCGCCATACTTTAGAAAGCTAAAATAGTTCTACTATTTTAGTCGACAATATACGCGAGTATATTGACTACGCGAGTCAAACTGACAATAATAAAATGTAAGACATGTCCGGGTTACTTCTGACTCTTCCGGTTGTCCGCCTTGTCGGATACGGAACGTACGGTAATAAGTTATTTTGCCAAAAAATAAAAAAATTGGAGGGGGTACTCTGACAGGCTTTAAATAATAGCTTTTTTTCATGGGTCACATTTTTAATTTTTTAACCTATTAGATATGCAAACTTTTTAAATCTTTCTATTGTGTTACGTAGCCTCAGTATTACTAGGCCTTTAATGCCCATTGAGAGAATTTTTCTATGTCAAATCGTTTTTGAGTTTTGGGGGTTTTTGTTAAAAAAACGAAAAGTGGTCTAAGTTACCCCGGGAGTCTAAGTTACCCCAGTTTATGGTACGGTAATCGTAAACTGCGGCTGTTATACAAAATGTAAACAGACGGTGTTCAGTGTTGCCATATGACTTTGGAGAAAATTTCTTCTAAGATAAAGATGGCTGGGATTGCGCAAACACGTGCGCGAAGATAATCAATTTTCATTACATTGCGCCAACTGTGCACAGCAATAGCTTAAAAAAAGTGAAAATGCGTGGGAAAATTCACCGAAAACATACATCATCCTGAGTGTGGGGTAGAAGTAACATTACATTACAGCAGAGATGAAAGTGGCGGGAAAGTTTGCATTAATCCATTAAGGGTGAGATGAAAAAGCCAGAGGAAGATAAATTCATTCAAGAGGAAATTTATTTGGTTTATTATTGCTCTATTCTATTTATTGGAAATTGTAATTGGGTACAAGTTACAGCCGTGCAGCATGCATTGCATTTTGACCTCTGGTCAATCGGTCATGAGCTTTAAATTGGTGATAGGCTACATGATGTAGTATATTGTATAAAAGCTCTTTTACTAGCCTCAAAAACTTAAACTAAAATTACTGATGAATTGCCACACACACGTAGTTTGCTGCACAATTATCTGTACAAGTTAAAGGTTCACACTTGTATGTAAGGTTAACAAAAAATTCCATTAATATGTAGGTATTATGGTATTCTTAAACAAGTTTTGTTAAAGACCAGAGAATTAGTTTTATTTATTAACTTCTTGTTAGTTTCAATATTAAAAAAAAAACGTCGTTCAATATTAAAAATGTCTATCGGTAATTTAATTTTCAATCTTCCAACACCTACGAAGAATTTAGTACGACTTATTGAAAAAATTAACAAGAAGTTAATAAATAAAACTAATTCTCTGGTCTTTAACAAAACTTGTTTAAGAGAAGAAATTCTGCCAGCCTACACTAATATTACGGTATTCACAGACATCCTACAAAATTAAAACATTTTGTCATGCAACATCCTAAAAAACAAATAGAAACAACAAGCTAAAATATTTGGCACAGCCACCTTTGTCTTCCCAAGTTCCCATCCTACCTTTTCTTAACCCTCCACTGGCGAGTGGCGACTGGCCTCCACTCCAGTCTTCATAATCCCACTCATATCATCCTGAGCATCCTCCTCTGAGTCTGAGTTCTCTCCACACCATAATCCCACATTCCACACTACACATTTTCCAAATATCTCTTCAATTTTCTCATATATAGCCGCAGTTGCTCCCTCAGACTCAGAGCTCAGACAGACCCACAATCATTGCCATCCACTGATTCCACTCTTTGCTTGACAATGCTTGTTCTCTCATTCACCACTTTGTTAATCTCACGTCCCTCATTCAGAATCACCTCCAGGATGAGGCTGCGCCACTGCAGGCTGCTGAGGGCGGCGGGCATTCCATCAACAAGTGCTCCACAGTTTCCGTCTCCTTCCACGATCCCCATTACACCTAGTATGGAATTTATCTACTTGGCGAGCCGCGACTGAATTTTTCGAGCCGTGGTTTTATGGATTTGCCAGCCGTGATACTTGGGTGTGAGCTGAGTTTAGTTATTGCATTATAGGGTAGGCGTTGGCGCTAGGGCTTGTTTACGAGCTAAATTTGTGGTGTAGGGCTGCGCTCTCAGTTTTCCTACTAGCCTCCAGAGCCCTCTATGTGCGAATAAATGGTTCAACGAATGCGGCGGGCAATAGAGTGATTCCGTAATTTTGCGAGCTGAAGATAATGGAAAATCACCATATATCACTGGTGTAATAAAAATAAAAAAGCATTCACATTATGATAAAATCAGGCTCTTGATCAATTGCGTTCGCAACAAATTAAATTCTTTCTAGTTTCAGAATGTTCAATAATCATATCTCCTGTCATATCATCAGAAACATTTGGAAAGCTTCGCGGCGTCAAATTCAGAAGTTTAATGCTTATGTCTATTACACAAAGAATGCAGAGTGATGAAATAACGTTTATCAACCACTTATTTGCTGTAAACAACAAAGCTGCACTCTTACCACTCTATTTCAAGGCACCATTCGCAAGTAGTGCATTAAAAGTAGTATGTTATGAATGAGCGGATGCTAAGATGTATTAGGAACGAAAGAGTGTTTGGTGAAGAGACAAATGGTTTTAGATACGACAGAAGAGCAGAAGATAATATATATGTTGTGAATGAAC